CTCCTTCTACAAAGTTACAATGTACAGTCTGATCACTGGGGGAGGGAAAACTGAGGAATTGACTCCTCCTCCTTCTACGAAGTTACAATGTACAGTCTGTTCACTGGGGGAGGGGAAACTGAGGAATTGACTCCTCCTCCTTCTACAAAGTTACAATGTACAGTCTGATCACTGGGGGAGGGGGAAACTGAGGAAACGCTTCCCCCTCCCAATAATCGGGGGTCTCCAAACGTCCCAATAATTGGGGTCTCCAAACTTCCCAATAATCGGAGCTCCAAACTTCCCAATAATCGGGGGTCTCCAAACTTCCCAATAATCTGGGATCGCCAAACTTCCCAATAATCGGGGGTCTCCAAACTTCCCAATAATCGGGGGGCTCCAAACTTCCCAATAATAGGGGGGCTCCAAACTTCTCAATAATCGGGGGGCTCCAAACCTCCCAATAATCAGGGCTCCAAACTTCCCAATAATCGGGGGGCTCCAAACTTCTCAATAATTGGGGGGCTCCAAACTTCCCAATAATCTGGGATCGCCAAACTTCCCAATAATCGGGGGGCTCCAAACTTCCCAATAATCTGGGATCGCCAAACTTCCCAATAATCGGGGGTCTCCAAACTTCCCAATAATCGGGGGTCTCCAAACTTCCCAATAATAGGGGGGCTCCAAACTTCTCAATAATCGGGGGGCTCCAAACCTCCCAATAATCGGGGGGCTCCAAACTTCCCAATAATCGGGGGCTCCAAACTTCTCAATAATCGGGGGGCTCCAAACTTCCCAATAATCCGGGATCTCCAAACTTCCCAATAATCGGGGGGCTCCAAATTTCCCAATAATCGGAGGGCTCCAAACTTCCCAATAATCGGGGGTCTCCAAACTTCCCAATAATCGGGGGCTCCAAACTTCCCAATAATCAGAGGGTCTCCAAACTTCCCAATAATCGGGGATCTCCAAACTTCCCAATAATCGGAGGTCTCCAAACTTCCCAATAATCGGGGCTCCAAACTTCCCAATAATCGGGGGGCTCCAAACTTCCCAATAATCGGGGGGCTCCAAACCTCCCAATAATCCGGGATCTCCAAACTTCCCAATAATCGGGGGGCTCCAAATTTCCCAATAATCGGAGGGCTCCAAACTTCCCAATAATCGGGGCTCCAAACTTCCCACTAATCGGGGGGCTCCAAACTTCCCAATAATCCGGGATCTCCAAACTTCCCAATAATCGGGGGTCTCCAAACTTCCCAATAATCGGGGGTCTCCAAACTTCTCAATAATCGGGGGGGGGCTCCAAACTTCCCAATAATCGGGGGGCTCCAAACTTCCCAAAAATCAGGGCTCCAAACTTCCCAATAATCGGGGGCTCCAAACTTCCCAATAATCTGAGGGCTCCAAACTTCCCAATAATCGGGGGGCTTCAAACCTCCCAATAATCGGGGCTCCAAACTTCACAATAATCAGGGGGCTCCAAACTTCCCAATAATCAGGGCTCCAAACTTCTCAATAATCGGGGGGCTCCAAACCTCCCAATAATCGGGGCTCCAAACTTCCCAATAATCGGGGGGCTCCAAACTTCCCAATAATCGGGGGGCTCCAAACTTCCCAATAATCTGGGATCTCCAAACTTCCCAATAATCGGGGCTCCAAACCTCCCAATAATGGGGGGGCTCCAAATTTCACAATAATCGGGGGCTCCAAACTTCCCAATAATCGGGATCTCCAAACTTCCCAATAATCGGGGGGCTCCAAACTTCCCAATAATCGGGGGGCTCCAAATTTCCCAATAATCGGGGGGCTCTAAACTTCCCAATAATCGGGATCTCCAAACTTCCCAATAATCGGGGCTCCAAACTTCCCAATAATCGGGGGTCTCCAACTTCCCAATAATCGGGGCTCTAAACTTCCCAATAATCGGGGGGCTCCAAACATCCCCAATAATCTGGGGGGGCTCCAAACCTCCCAATAATCGGGGCTCTAAACTTCCCAATAATCGGGGGCTCCAAACTTCCCAATAATCGGGGGGGGGGGCTCCAAACTTCCCAATAAGAGGACCACATCATTTCTCTCACACATATTTAGAGTCTCCATTAAAATCCTCCTTAATTAGGAGTTCCCCTTATATCAGTGTGCCCCTTTACATCAGGGTCCCCATCAGAGCCCCCTAACATCAGAGTCCCCATCAAAGTCCTTTTTTCGGAGTATCTCTTACATCAGAGTCCCCCTTTACATCAGGGTCCCTATCAGAGCCCCCTTATATCAGAGTCCTGATTAAAAACTCTCTTACATCAGAGTCCCCTTTTAAATCAGAGTCCCCTCTTACATCAGAGTCCTCCCCCTTACATCAGAGTCCCCATCAGAGCCCCTTTTTATCACAGGTCTCATTAAAGTCATCCTTACTTTGGAGCCCCCCCCACACATCAGGGCCCCCACAAAGAACCCCCTAACACAGGGTCCCCATCAAAATCCCTCTCACTTTGGAGTCCCCTTTACATTAGAGTGTCCATTAACTTAGAGTCCCTATCAGAGCCGCATCATATCAGAGATCCCATTAAAGTCCCCCTTACTTTGGAGTCCTACTTACATCAGAGTGCCCCTTATACATTAGGGTCCCCATTAGAGCCCCTCACATCAGAGAACCCCATTAAAGCCCCCTTATTTTGGAGTCCCTTCACACCAGAGTCCCCCTTTACATCAGAGTCTCATATCAAAGCCCCCTTTACTTTGAAGTCCCCACTTTACATCAGAATCTCCATCAGAGCTCCTTATATCAGAGTCCCCATGAAGGTTCCTCTTACTTTAGAGTCCCCTCTTACATTAGCGTCCCTAACATCAGAGCCCCCCCCCCATCAGAAACAAGATAGACCTGTGCTCCAATCCCAATAGCATGTACATGCATTTATCTATCAGGTGCCAGAGGGGTGTGACCACACACTAGAAATTCTGGAAGAACCCTCTGCACACTGTTTGTAGAGGGTTCTTCCAGAGAGTTTCCCCTTTACATCAGTCTCTCTATCAGAGTCCCCTCTTACATCATAGCCGCTTACATCAGAGCCCCCCCCCCCCTTTTACATCAGTGTCTCTATCAGAGCCCTCCCCTTTACATCAGTGTCTCTATCAGAGCCCTCCCCTTTACATCAGTGTCTCTATCAGAGCTCCCTCTTACATCATAGCCCCTTACATAAGAGCCCCCCCCATGACATCACTCTCTTCATCAGAGTCCCTTCTTACATCAGAGGGCCAGATAAAATCTTGCAGGGGGGCGGGTTTGGCCCCTGGGCTGTAGTTTTGAAATCCTGGTCTGAATGATCCGTTGACTGTCTGGCTTCCGGTCGGACCCTCTTACCTGCACACCGGGGTACCCCGCAGTCGGTGAGGACTCTAGGCTCGGTGAAAGGTGACCCCGGACAGGGTGGACGGGGCACAGTCCTTGCCGTGTCACAACCAGAAAATCACAACTGATCTGCACACACCGAGATCTCTTTCACTTTTACTTTGTCCCCCCTCCCCCCTCCTCCATTCTGATCACACAGCAGCCTGTGTATAGGGAGAGATATATATATTATATACTCATCCCATTCCATCCATCCATCCCATCCATCCCCATCCATCGCAGTGTGTACAAGAAAACACATACACTATAATATAGACAGGGGATGGGGGGAGGGGACAAGGGACCCCAAATCCCTCCAGGCCAATCAGAGCAAAGCCTGACTCTTCTCCTCTTGTACTTTATTCCTGTTTTTTTTCTTTTTTTAACTTTGTTTCTTTTTTACTTTCTCTTATAGCCCAGCAGCCAATCACCTCCAGGATTATTCCGTGTTTTCTGTTGGTATCTTTTTTCCTGTAATAATAACAAAATGTATCAAAAAACAAAGTGTACTTTATGGGAACACAGATGTGTGACTGGGGCTCTCTGTTACCACCCCCCACTACAATCATTAATCATTATAAATGGTATTCTGAAAGCGGTAATTAAACCCAAAAGCAAACATTTATTATACTAGCAGCACAGTGGCTCAATGGTTAGCACTTCCGCCTGGCAGTACTCGGGTCATTGGATTGAAATCCCAACCACAGCACCACCTGCCTGGAGTTTGCATGTTCTCCCTGTGCCTGTGTGGGTTTACTCCAAAGACATGCTGGTAGGTTATTGGCTCCTGTCTATATTGTCCCTAGTATGTGTATGTATGAATGTGAGTTAGGGACCTTAGATTGTACGCTCCTTGAGGGTTAGGGACTGATGTGAATGTACAATATATATGTAAAGTGCTGTGTAAATTGATGGCGATATATAAGTACCTGAAATAAATAATAAATTACAGCTTACCGATCATTAGATGTGGCGGCTGCATTTGTTTTCTTTTTTTTTTAGGCTTTTCTCCCCCTTTGTTTTCACCGGGTGATCTGGCCAGTAACACCCCTTCCTGTATTAGAGCGTCCCCCACTCAGCACAGGGGCACCTTTGGACAGCAGCATTGTCAGTCTGGGGGAGGGGGAGTGTTAGGTGTACTAGCAGATTGAGATACACTAACAAAATTAAGACAAACTCCAGCTAACCCCTGGTTCACATCTCTGCGTTTATGTGGGCTGTGATTTGTGCGGGCACAAGAGCCCATTCATTTGGATGGACTCCTGTGCCCCGGGACACACAGGGAAGAAGTCCCGGCACTATTTGGGAAATCGCAGCCAGCACAGGAACTGAGGTTCTCAGTACGGCTGTGATTTCCAATGCGGGCGGCATGCCGTTAGAATGGCACCCACCCTCACGTCCCCCATTGCTCTGTGTGGGTGGTGCGGCTGCAGGTATTTGTGCAGGTCCCCCATTCCTCTGTGTGGGTGGTGCGGCTGCAGGTATTTGTGCGGGTCCTGCATTCCTCTGTGTGGGTGGTGCGGCTGCAGGTATTTGTGCGGGTCCCCCATTCCTCTGTGTGGGTGGTGCGGCTGCAGGTATTTGTGCAGGTCCCCCATTCCTCTGTGTGGGTGGTGCAAGTATTTGTGGGGTCCCCCATTCCTCTGTGTGGGTGGTGCGGCTGCAGGTATTTGTGGGGTCCCCCATTCTTCTGTGTGGGTGGTGCGGCTGCAGGTATTTGTGCGGGTCCCCCATTCCTCTGTGTGGGTGGTGCAGGTATTTGTGTGGGTCCCGCATTCCTCTGTGTGGGGGTGGTGCAGGTATTTGTGCGGGTCCCGCATTCCTCTGTGTGGGTGGTGCAGGTGCAGGTATTTCTGTGGGTCCCCCATTCCTCTGTGTGGGTGGTGCAGGTATATTTGTGTGGATCCCCCAGTATTTAAATATATATATATCACCTAACCCCAAGAACCCCTCAAAAAGTCACGCTTTCCCCAGAAAGCAACAATATTACAACCTTTTTGGAATTAAATAAACAAATTCAAATAAATTAATATAATAAAGTACAAAAAATTGAAAAATAATCATAAAAAATTCAAAAAAATACAAAATAGAAAATAAATAAAAAAAGTCCAAAGCAAAGTGTCCCCAAAAATGTCCCAATACAAACACAAATAGTGTCAAACAGAAATGGTGTCCGAAAATTGTCCAAATATCCAAATTTTATCCAGTCAGAAGAAATTCCCTTTCATCCCGTAATACCTAGAAAAAAACAAAATCAGAAATCTAGTGCATTACCTTTTATAAAAATAATATATTCCCTCCGTGCAAAAATACAACACAAAAAACACAAAAAGTGTGCAAACACTATATATGTGTATTTTTTCCGTGCACTTGTGAATGAATTGTGACCACTCAGTGAACACTGCAACACTGTGTATCCACCAGCACCAATAGTACTAGATACTATTACCCTCTGTATCCATATACCAGCATCCACATGAGATCTTCTAAATGCTCCAATGAAATTATTCCAAGGTCCCTCAAAAGACAAGAAGGGTCTCAAGGCTCATATTCAAAGTGTATTAAAAAGATTTAATGAGAACTTACATGGGTAAAATTTCCTTATTTCGGCTTCCAACATGCTTCCTGTGTGAGTCCTAACAAACAGATGCAATATGCCATGTGTTGATAACCCACAAAATGGCCGCGGCGACACTTCCGGTCTGCGTGCGTGCGTCACTACGTCACACCCTTAACGCGTTTCGTCACTTCCGGACTTCGTCTGAAGGGATCTAAGTGATCCCTTCAGACGAAGTCCGGAAGTGACGAAAAACGCGTTTAAGGGTGTGACGTAGTGACGCACGCACGCAGACCGGAAGTGTCGCCGCGGCCATTTTGTGGGTTATCAACACATGGCATATTGCATCTGTTTGTTAGGACTCACACAGGAAGCATGTTGGAAGCCGAAATAAGGAAATTTTAATGTAAGTTCTCATTAAATCTTTTTAATACACTTTGAATATGAGCCTTGAGACCCTTCTTGTCTTTTGAGGACCTTGGAATAATTTCATTGGAGCATTTAGAAGATCTCATGTGGATGCTGGTATATGGATACAGAGGGTAATAGTATCTAGTACTTTTTGGTGCTGGTGGATACACAGTGTTGCAGTGTTCACTGAGTGGTCACAATTCATTCACAAGTGCACGGAAAAATACACATATATAGTGTTTGCACACTTTTTGTGTTTTTGTGTTGTATTTTTTGCACTAGGGGGATGGGAATATATTATTTTTATAAAAGGTAATGCACTAGATTTCTGATTTTGTTTTTTTCGAGGTATTACGGGATGGGGAATTTCTTCTGACTGGATAAAATTTGGATATTTGGACAATTTTCGGACACCATTTCTGTTTGACACTATTTGTGTTTGTATTGGGACATTTTGGGACACTTTGCTTTGGACTTTTTTTATTTATTTTTTATTTTGTATTTTTTTGAATTTTATGATTATTTTTCAATTTTTTGTACTTTATTATATTCATTTATTTGAATTTGTTTATTTAATTCCAAAAAGGTTGTAATATCTGTGTGGATCCCCCATTCCTCTGTGTGGGTGGTGCGCCTGCAGGTGGTATCTGTGCGGGTCCCGCATTCCTCTGTGTGGGTGGTGCAGGTATCTATGCGGGTCCCCCATTCCTCTGTGTGGGTGGTGCAGGTATTTCTGTGGATCCCGTATCGGCACCCCCCGCACAGATGTGAGCCGGGGGACTTTATAAGCAGTTACAACAAACAGTTTTTTCTCCTTTCGGGATGAAGGGGTTACATATAAAAATATAAAATCTTATCATTAAAGGTTTTACATAAATGAAAGCTGATCATTGTCAGCACCCCTGTCAGTGTTACATGATTTGTCTCATCCCTCTAAACTGTTACATCTGCAGGAGAGCTTGTTCTGTTGAGAAGCAACAGACTTACTGGCCGGATCACTGGATGGAAATAAAGGAAAGAAAACCTACAAAAGAAAAGGAATGCAGCCATCAGCTCTGAGAATTGGTAAGCTGCCACGCTAATAATTTGGGTGTAATCCCGCCTTCAAGATCTCATTTATAATGATTGATATCTGTATTCCTGTCTGTAGAGAGAATGGTATCAGAGCCCCCCCATGTCAGGACCTTTGTGCTGTCATTGAACACACTTTGCTTTTTATACATTTATGGCGGTTTCTCATTACAACAAAAAGATACAAATAAGAAAGATGTGAGAGGAGCAAAGTACACAGCAGGGTAGTGATGTGAAGGGGGGACTCTGACATAACGAGGGGACCTCTGATGTGAAGGGGGGATTCTGACATGATAATGGGACCTCTGATGTGAAGGGGGGGGCTCTGACATGGGGATGGGGGGTGACCTCTGATGTGATGGGGGAACCGGTGACATGATGAGGAAACCTCTGATGTGATGGGGGGGGGCTTTGACATGATGAGGGGACCTCTGATGTGATGAGGGGAACTCTGATGTGAAGGTGGTGATCAGGACACTGGTATGGGGTATGGAGGTGATCAGGATGCTGGTATGGGGTTTGGAGGTGATCAGGACACTGGTATGGGGGTATGGAGGTGATCACAATGCTGGTATGGGGTATGGAGGTGATCAGGGGGGGGGGGGGGGGGGGGGGGTTGGGGGGGGGGGGGGGGGGGGGGGGGGGGGGGGGGGGGGGGGGGGGGGGGGATGTTGGTATGGGGTATGGAGGTGATCACAATGCTGGTATGGGGTATGGAGGTGATCAGGACACTGGTATGGGGTATGGCGGTGATCAGGACATTGGTATGGGGTGATGGCGGTGATCAGGATGCTGGTATGGGGTATGGAGGTGATCAGGGACACTGGTATGGGGTATGGAGGTGATCAGGACATTGGTATGGGGTATGGCGGTGATCAGTGTGCTGGTATGGGGTATGGAGGTGATCAGGACACTGGTATGGGGTATGGAGGTGATCAGGACACTGGTATGGGGTATGGGGTGATCAGGATGCTGGTATGGGGTATGGCGGTGATCAGGATGCTGGTATGGGGTATGGAGGTGATCAGGATGTTGGTATGGGGGTATGGAGGTTATCAGGACACTGGTATGGGGTATGGAGGTGATCAGGATGTTGGTATGGGGTTTGGAGGTGATCAGGATGTTGGTATGGGGTTTGGAGGTGATCAGGATGCTGTTATGGGGTATGGAGGTGATCACAATGCTGGTATGGGGTATGGAGGTGATCAGGATGCTGGTATGGAGTATGGAGGTGATCACAATGCTGGTATGGGGTTTGGGAGGTGATCAGGACACTGGTATGGGGTATGGAGGTGATCAGGACACTGGTATGGGGTATGGAGGTGATCACAATGCTGGTATGGGGTATGGAGGTGATCAGGACACTGGTATGGGGTATGGAGGTGATCAGGATGTTGGTATGGGGTATGGAGGTTATCAGGACACTGGTATGGGGTATGGAGGTGATCACAATGCTGGTATGGGGTATGGAGGTGATCAGGACACTGGTATGGGGTATGGAGGTGATCAGGATGCTGGTATGGGGTATGATGGTGATCAGGACACTGGTATGGGGTATGGCGGTGATCAGGATGCTGGTATGGGGTATGGAGGTGATCAGGACACTAGTATGGGGTATGGAGGTGATCAGGATACTGGTATGGGGTATGACGGTGATCAGGATGCTGGTATGGGTATGGAGGTGATCAGGATGCTGGTATGGTGTGTGGGGGTGATCAGGACCTGGTATGGGGTATGGGGGTGATCAGGACACTGGTATGGGGTATGGTGGTGATCAGGACGCTGGTATGGTGTATGGTGGTGATCAGGACGCTGGTATGGGGGTATGGCAGTGATCAGGATGCTGGTATGGGGTATGGCGGTGATCAGGACCCTGGTATGGGGTATGGCGGTGATCAGGATCCTGGTATGGGGTATGGAGGTGATCAGGACGCTGGTATGGGGTATGGCGGTGATCAGGATGCTGGTATGGGGGTATGGCGGTGATCAGGATGTTGGTATGGGGTATGGAGGTGATCAGGACACTAGTATGGGGTATGGCGGTGATCAGTGTGCTCGTATGGGGTATGGAGGTGATCAGGATGTTGGTATGGGGTGTGGAGGTGATCAGGACACTGGTATGGGGTATGGAGGTGATCAGGACACTGGTATGGGGTATGGCAATGATCAGGACGCGCTGGCATGGGGTATGGCGGTGATCAGGACACTGGTATGGGGTATGACGGTGATCAGGATGCTGGTATGGGGTATGGCGGTGATCAGGATGCTGGTATGGGGTATGGCGGTGATCAGGATCCTGGTATGGGGTATGGAGGTGATCAGGATCCTGGTATGGTGTATGGCGGTGATCAGGATCCTGGTATGGGGTATGGCGGTGATCAGGATCCTGGTATGGGGGTATGGCGGTGATCAGGATCCTGGTATGGGGTATGGCGGTGATCAGGATCCTGGTATGGGGTATGGCGGTGATCAGGATCCTGGTATGGGGTATGGAGGTGATCAGGATGCTGGTATGGGGTATGGTGGTGATCAGGATGCTGGTATGGGGTATGGAGGTGATCAGGACGCTGGTATGGGGTATGGGAGGTGATCAGGACGCTGGTATGGGGTATGGCGGTGATCAGGACATTGGTATGGGGTATGGAGGTGATCAGGACGCTGGTATGGGGTATGGAGGTGATCAGATGCTGGTATGGGGGTATGGGGGTGATCAGGACACTGGTATGGGGTATGGAGGTGATCAGGACGCTGGTATGGGGTATGGCTGTGATCAGGACATTGGTATGGGGTATGGTGGTGATCAGGACGCTGGTATGGGGTATGGTGGTGATCAGGACATTGGTATGGGGTATGGAGGTGATCAGGACATTGGTATGGGGTATGGTGGTGATCAGGACATTGGTATGGAGTATGGAGGTGATCCGAACACTGGTATGGGGGTGTTTTTGTGAACACCGGGACAGGTGACAGGTGCTGGCAGTTTTATTTATTATGATGACACGGGGTAGTGATCAGGGACTCTGGGGTGGCTGGTGCAGCAATCTGAGTGTACAAGTTGGCTGCTCTACACTCCGAGGTGCAGCATCGCTTCTCTCTTCTCTCACAGTGACTACTTTATAATGTGATCTGCTGTGTCCGGGTGACACATGGTTCTCTTGGGCTCCTGGGTCTGAGCCACGCAGGAGCCTCCGATGCAGGTACAGGTACATTAGCCTGCATCGGTGTGGCTTCCTGTCTGCTGTCTAGAGTCAATGAGTGGACAAGAAGTGGTTAAGGGAGCCACTGGATTCTAAAAAAGTCCCCTTCCCTGCAGATCCCCTCAATCACTGTGCCAGGGTTGTGGGGAAGAGGCCCTTATTCTCATCAATATGGACTTTGCTGCCCCTTTTTTTTTAATGGGATAACCTCTTGAAATCCATACCATACTGAAGAGTGTAGTATGGGTTTTTTTTTTGAAGGGGGGGGGGGGGGGGGGCTGCTTGCTGTCGTTTTGTGGATGTGCTTTCCCCTTACAGGACAAGTGTGGGATTAAGAGAAATCCTCTTCTATGTGGATGAAGCATTGATCCGATGCAAAGCAGGGAGAAAAAACAGCCAGACGGTAAAGTAAAGGCAAACATAACACATTGTTAGGCACACAGTTAACCCCTGATTGCTGTGAGATATGTTAACCCCTTCCCAGCCAGTGTCTGTACAGTGTCAATGTATAGATGATGATCACTGTATTCGTGTCACTAGTGTTGTCATTGTCTGTTTAGGGGCCCTCCCAGATAGTGTCTTTTAGTGCCGGATTGCCCGCCACCCTATCATATCGCTGATCACCACCATTACCATTATATTACTCACTGAACTGCAACTCAATTTCTAACATTTATATTCATGTGTTTTTTCTGGATTTGTTGGTTGATCTTCTGTCTCTGTCATCCAAAATGCACCTATGAAATAAAGATAGACCCTTCATTTCTTTGTAGGTGGGCAAACTTACAAAATCTGCTGGGATCAAATCATTATTTTCCCCCACTGTACAAAGGTATTGGGGTTGATATGGACCCACATGGCATCTCAACTGGCTGAATGTTCTTCCTGGCTTCATGGTTTATATTAGCCAATACACCTGAACCCAGGTAATCATCAATGCTTTATTTCAATTCATGACACATATTGAACATTTCTTGGAACATCTAAAATAAAAATACAATATATAGTTGTCTTTGTGATAACACGCAGAATAACAGCAACATCATTTTTTTGTGGAAAACAAGAGGGAACGTCATTTCCTCTGATACATGGACATTATTTATCTTATTCTGTTGTACTTTTCTCTGTCACTTGTTTGTATTATTTAAACAAATTTAATAAAAAAAAAAAATATATATATCTTTTGATCCTGTACCTGGCGACACGGCAAATAAATTGGCAACTTCAGCCAGAGCGGCACCAACTAAGAGGCACCAACAATTTGCCCTCTTTGAAGCTCAGTAAGCTCTGACATGACTCCATATTACTAGCAGCGCACGCAGTGAATGAGGAAAGTGCAGCTTACCACCTGTTAGCTACAGCAGGTGTCTCATCAGACAGCGGAAGCAAAAAATTGTTACATCACTTTTACACCTACAAATTATTATTATACAGTATTTATAAAGCGCCAATAGTTCGCTCAGCGCTGTACATTACAAAGGGGGACAGAACATGTGACAGAACAATACCAATACAATGCAAAACATGAGGGGATCGAGGGCCCTGCTCTTTCGAGCTTACAATCTAGGAGGGAGGGGATGGTGGCACAGGAGGAGATAGCTGTGGGGGATGGAGTGGTAGGAAGAGTGGAGGAGGTTTGCAAGTTAGCAGGGGGTGGGGTAGGCTTCCCTGAAGAGATGGGTTTTCAGGGTGCGCCTAAAGGAGAGGAGAGTAGGTAATAATCTGATGGGTTGGGGCAGGGAGTTCCAGAGGATGGGTGACACCCTGGAGAAGTCCTGGAGGCGGGCATGGGAGGAGGAGACCAGGGAACTAGAGAGAAGGAGGTCTTGTGAGGAGCGGAGTGTGTGTGTTGGGCGTTACTTGGATATTAGGTCAGTGATGTAGTTCGGGGCAGTATGGTGAAATCATGTAGTGTTTCCATTTTGTTGTCCAACCCCTGTAATTACACTCACCGGCCACTTTATAAGGTACACCTGCTCAATTGCTTGGTAACACAAACTGCTAGTCAACCAGTCACATGGCAGCAACTTCTGTGCATTTAGGCACCTAGACGTGGTGAAGACGACATCAAACCAAGCATAAGAATGGGGAAGAAAGAGAATTTACGTGACTTTGAACATGGCATGGTTGTTGATGCCAAGATGGGCTGGTCTGAGTATTTCAAAAACTGCTGATCGACTGGGATTTTCACACACAACCACCTCTAGGGTTTACAGAGAATGGTCTGAAAAAGAGAAAATATCCAGTGAGCGGCAGTTGTGTGGAGGAAAATGCCTTGTTGGTGTCAGAGGAGAATGGGCAGACTGCTTCCAGATGATAGAAAGGCAACAGTAACTCAAACAACCACTCATTACACCCAAGGTATGCAGAATACCATCTCTTAACACACAACATGTCGAACCTTGAAGCAGATGGGCTACAGCAGCAGAAGACCACTCCGGGTAGCAAGGTGCACCTAATAAAGTGGCCGATGAGTGTATATGTGCTTTATTCATAAATGTAGCATCCAGTATGAACAATGTCCATCCTGTGTAATTACTACCTCTCTACATGCTGAATTAACCTATTGGGAAGTATACATTTTGTAAAAATTCTGTGTATTCTCATTTTTCCCTAATGGGAAGCAGTTTGGAATGATCTCTATTGGGCGGTCAGTTCACATTAAAGGCTTTTTTCAAGCTGGTAAGCGCTTGTTCTTTGGTGATTTCCATCCAGGTATCCTGGCAGCTCAGCGGGTAATGCCTGATACTCTTTGGCAAACTCTTGATTAAACTTTACAAAGATGAACTTCCAGTAATCTGAGCACTCAATGCTGGGGTCAGGCTGAATGGCCCAGTCTGGATAATATGTACGATACTCTTTATAGTAATGCCATTTCCCTTCAGTGTCTGTATTTTTAAAGCTTGAGCTAGATACAACAAGAGTAGAACAGATATCAACGACCAGCTTCTGATCTGTCTCAAAACGGTACTTTCCCAATCCTTGTGGTCTATGGATGGAAGCTGCGTGATTCTTATGATCACCCCCTCCAGCCTCACAGGGGACACCACAGAAAGGGCACTGCTTGCCACATCCAACCACCTTCTTGAACAATTCATGCAGAGGCTTCACCATCACCCTGGAAAGAATATACTGTATCTATAGATCGCAGGTTGGAATGGATTTGTTGTTGTGTCTCGGGGGAGAAAACGTTCAATTTCCGATGAGAACTGCACAACATTGCCCCATGTTACAAAATGTGATGACTTTCATCTCTTTCTGTGAAATCACCAATTCTGTTTTTAGCAATCCACAGAACTTCTCCAAAAAATTTGACACAGAATTTTCCTTTATGCAGCTTTCATTTTTAAGAGCATTTTTAATTTTCTGAATAATGGACGACAGAATATGCTCCTGCAAGGTTTCTAAAGCGGGTCCTCTGCCATATTTGTCTGTGATGTAAGTTGAAATCCATTTTTTTAGACAGCTCTCATACGAAGTGATGTATTCAACATACTTTTGGAATGACATGTCTTCTAGAAGCTTCTCTAAAACCGTACACTGGAAAAAACTTCTGCTGCGGAATGTGACATTTTCACTTAAAATCTCATCCACAAATTTTTGTCCAAGATGTTTGAAAACATAATCCATTATTGCTGGTTTCAAGCAAAGCTCACAAAACTGGATAGCTCTGCTTCGACATTCATCTTTTTTGTGGAAAAGCGTGAGAAATGTAGACCAGTATTGAGGCTTTAGCTTTTCTAGACAAAGTTTCGGGTCATTCTCATGGATGAACTTGTCATGCAACTTCTGGAAGGCTTGAGAGGCTTTTCCAAAAATGAAAAGTTTGATATCCAGTTCAAACTGTTTATTAAAGTTGAGCTTTTTCACATCTTTCTTGTTTAGTATTTCATTGATCTTGTATAGCAATTCCTTAGAATACATTTCATTGTAATCATCATGGGAAGACGTCTTCTCTTTTATATACTCATCACTGGTCTGAATTATGGAAGCAGCAAGATCGCTAACCTTCTTCACCTGTTCTTGTTTACATATTAGATTTCTTTAAAACGAATTTTCATGGAGTGATCAAGGTGCTTTTGATCATCTATACAAAACCTGTCACCTTTCTTTGCATATTGATGTAAAACATTAACCTTAATTAATGCTTTATTTATCTCAGGTCCTTTACTGCTCATGTCATTTGTAAGAAGATGAAGAAGAGAATTATCCACATCGCATCTCCTAAGTTCTTCCAAGTTCAAACCTGATAACGACTTCTTCCACATCAACTCAAATTCTTGTTGAATTTCTGGTTCGCTTACTTTACTATTACTCTGTCTATATCTTTGCAGAAGATTAGTTATTCTATCTTCAATCAACGTCTGGGATTTTCTCTGAATGTCCTGGATTTTTATTTTCCCTTTGTGGATAGAAACAGCCTCATGACACTTACTAAGAGCATTTATTTCAAGTTCTTTTCTCAGACC